AAAAGAGACTTGTGTTCCCTCTGTTATCAGCCAAGACTCTGATGAACTTCCAGGACATTTCAGGCAGAGATTCTCAACATGGTGTGTGTGTGTGTGTGTGTGCGTGTGTGTACGTTGTAAATACAAGTGTTGATTGAGGTCTATAGGGTTGTGTCAGAGGGTGATACTCATTAGCTCACTGTATTCATGTATTCTCAGCAGAAAGACAAGAGAGGGGTGGAGAGGGCTCACACGCACACACACACACACACACACTCTGCTAGCTGTCACGACAATGACCCCAAACAGCAGGATCGAGCCGAGGCAGCTGATTGGTTTCCGTGTTGATGTTGCGAAGGTCATGAACTCTCGCACTAGAAATTAATCGACTCTGACACTCCACGCCACTACAGGGCTCTCCATAAACAGACACACCAGGGACAGTCACCAGAGCACTGGCCCCTATCTACCTTTGGCTGAGCGCCTACTACAGTGGCTTCAAAATGAGAGGACAGCGAGCGAGAGAGAGAGAGAGAGAGAGAGAGAGAGAGGAGAGAGAGAGAGAGAGAGAGAGGAGAGAGAGAGAGGAGAGAGAGAGAGAGAGAGAGAGAGAGAGGGCATGTTCCAGCTTTATACACAAGCTCAAAGAGAACCACCTGGATTAAAAGTGTTGCACTAAACAAACAAGCACACACAGTCATACTGATGTCAAGAGGTGCTGCTGACTCAGCTGTTTGTGTATGATTTTCCTGCAGCCTGCGACAGGTGCAGATAAAACTGCTCACACAGCTTACTGTTTAAAACTCTATCCCCTACACACACACACACACACACACACACACACACACACACACACACACACACACACACACACACACACACACACAAACACACTGGCTACAATAACACAGCACATAACCATTCAGCCCGATACACGCTACAAACACTAAAACAACCTATTCCCCATATAGAGGGGAGGAGGGAGAGTGAGGGATAGACATAAAGGATAAAGAAAGAGAAAAAGAAAGAGAGAGAGAGCAGAGAGAGATAGATAAAGAGAGAGAGGAGAGAGAGAGATTGGCTATACTTAAACTCTTTAACATCTTCCCCAATACTTGGAACCAAGGACTGATCACCCCAATCCACAAAAGTGGAGACAAATTTGACCCCAATAACTACTGTGGGATATGCGTCAACAGCAACCTTGGGAAAATCCTCTGCATTATCATTAACAGCAGACTCGTACATGTCCCTACTGAAAACAATGTACTGAGCAAATGTCAAATTGGCTTTTTACCATATTACCGTACGACAGACCACGTATTCACCCTGCACACCCTAATTGACAAACAAAGAAACCAAAACAAAGGCAAAGTCTTCTCATGTTTTGTTGATTTCAAAAAAGCTTTTGACTCAATTTGGCATGAGGGTCTGCTATACAAATTGATGGAAAGTGGTGTTGGGGGAAAAACATACGACATTATAAAATCCATGTACACAAACAACAAGTGTGCAGTAAAAATTGGCAAAAAACACACACATTTCTTTCCACAGGGCCGTGGGGTGAGACAGGGATGCATCTTAAGCCCCACCCTCTTCAACATATATATCAACGAATTGGAGAGGGGACTAGAACAGTCTGCAGCATTCGGCCTCACCCTACTAGAATCTGAAGTCAAATGTCTACTGTTTGCTGATGATCTGGTGCTTCTGTCCCCAACCAAGGAGGGCCTACAGCAGCACCTAGATCTTCTGCACAGATTCTGTCAGACCTGGGCCTTGACAGTAAATCTCAGTAACACAAAAATAATGGTGTTCCACAAAAGGTCCAGTTGCCAGGACCACAAATACAAATTCCATCTAGACACCGTTGCCCTAGAGCACACAAAAAACTATACATACCTCGGTCTAAACATCAGCGCCACAGGTAACTTCCACAAAGCTGTGAACAATCTGAGAGCCAAGGCAAGAAGGGCCTTCTATGCCATCAAAAGGAACATAAAATTCGTCACACCAATTAGGATCTGGCTAAAAATACTTGAATCAGTTATAGGACCCATTGCCCTTTATGGTTGTGAGGTCTGGGGTCTGCTCACCAACGAATAATTCACAAAATGGGACAACACCAAATTTAGACTCTGCATGCAGAATTCTGTAAAAATATCCTCCATGTACAACATAAAACACCAAATAATGCATGCAGAGCAGAATTAGGCCGATACCCACTAATTATCAAAATCCAGAAAAGAGCCATTAAATTCTACATCCACCTAAAAGGAAGTGATTCCCAAACCTTCCATAACAAAGTAATAACCTACAGAGAGATTAACCTGGAGAAGAGTCCCCTAAGCAAGCTGGTCCTGGGGCTCTGTTCACAAACACAAACAGACCCCACAGAGCCCCAGGACAGCAACAAAATTAGACCCATCCAAATCATGAGAAAACAAAAAGATAATTACTTGACACATTGGGAAGAATTAACAAAAAAACAGAGCAAACTAGAATGCTATTTGGCCCTAAACAGAGAGTACACAGTGGCAGAATACCTGACCACTGTGACTGACCCAAACTTAAGGAAAGCTTTGACTATGTACAGACTCAGTGAGCATAGCCTTGCTATTGAGAAAGGCAGTCGTAGGCAGACCTGGCTTTCAAGAGAAGACAGGCTATGTGTACACTGCCCACAAAATGAGGTGGAAACTGAGCTGCACTTCCTAACCTCCTGCCAAATTTATGACCATATTAGAGACACATATTTCTCTCAGATTACACAGATCCACAAAGAATTCGAAAACAAACCCAATTTTGATAAACTCCCATATCTATTGGGTGAAATACCACAGTGTGCCATCACAGTAAGCAAGATTTGTGACCTGTTGCCACAAGAAAAGGGCAACAAGTGAAGAACAAAAACCATTGTAAATATAATCCATATTTATGTTTATTTATTTTCCCTTTTGTACTTTTAACTATTTGCACATCATATGACATTTGAAATGTCTTTATTCTTTTGGAACTTTTGTGACCTCACTCTAAGTCATTGCTATTTTTTACCAGTGGTTTCTCCTCAGAGGAAGATAAAACGATACTAAATATATTCACGTCATCAAATAATTGATTAAAACACATTGTTTTGCAATGAAGGTCTACAGTAGCCCCAACAGCAGTCTCTGGGGTAGCACCATGGTGTAGCCGGAGGACAGCTAGCTTCCGTCCTCCTCTGGGTATATTGACTTCAATACAAAACCTAGGTGGCTCAAGGTTCTCACACACTTCCATAGACTTACACAGTAATTAAAAACTTCCGGAGGATGTCCTTCAATCTATCAGAGCTCTTGCAGCACGAACTGACATGTTGTCCACCCAATCAAAGGATCAGAAATTGAATCTCGTACCGAACGCATAAGCTACAGCTAGCTATCACTGCAGTGCATAAAATGTGGTGAGTAGTTGACTCAAAGAGAGAGGAAGACAATAGTTCAAAAATGAAGGACAAGCAAGAGAGAGAGAGAGAGAGAGAGAGAGAGAGAGAGAGAGAGAGAGAATTCGTCATTTTTTTCACTTTCACTTACTTAGCTAGCAAATGCAGCTAGCTAGTTCAGTCTACTCAAAGTCCCGGCTCAAACAGAGGGATGCTATGTTAGCTAGTTGGCTATGACTATCCAACACAACACTGGAACTCTTCCAAGTCATGGTAAGCTTTTGGTTTTACTAATTTATTGCCACCGGGGCCCGCCGGTGTAACTGCTAAACTGCTTGATTGTAGCGGATTTGTTTACTAACTCGTTAGTTCTATTAGCTACGTTGACTATGACGTTACTTTAGCTAATATGGTGACAACGATGTAGGCTGTGTGTAGTGGTTATGGTTTGGCTTGGAACGTTTTTTTTGCCTGGTCACATACAGCTGATGTGTTTTGCATTGAAGTCCACAAGCGAAGGGAAAAGGTGAGAGGAAGAGAGCGCATAGATGCAAGAAGGAATACAACGTGGCTGCTATGAAAGTGAACTGTGTTTATGCGTAATCAGGGGTACTTTCTGCCATTTCTGTTTCTTAAACGGAAGCAAACGGAACAAAATGGGGATAAACATAACAGAATTTGTTCAATAGAAACTCTTGTTTGCAACTGTTGGACTAACGATTACACGGTAGATCAGCTAGATGCAGGCAAGAGTGTGCAAGGCGGTATTGAGTGTGTCACTGTCTGTCACCTCAAATTTTTCTCTCGACCTGTGTGCACCTACGTTGTAAACTTTCATTCATAGGCTAGGTTGTAGCAACCTCATGATGGGAATAGGGCAAATTTGAGTATCATGTAGTAGCCTAAACCTAGCGATGTTACATTGAGCTGGGTGAATGGAATATGAATGACAGTCATGCAATATGCTGTAATAGAAATAAAGCCATGCTCATGAAAAAAAATTACCGTCCTCCCTCATCTTAAACAGCACCGACTGCCACAGTTCTTCACCACATGTATAAGTGGACCTTCAGGACACAGGGCTAGCGAGCTGTGATGGAGTCAGACACTGGAAAACCTCCAAATGTCGTTTGGAACCAAAATATCAGCTGTGTTTCGACACACACCGATACACACATTGTCACTGATACACACACACCATTCTACAAGCCCACACTGCACAGACTGTGTGAACACACACTGTCACACACTATTTCACACACAGTTATACACACCAACAAACACTGTTCTACAAGCCCAAACTGCACAGACTGTGTACACACACTGTCACACACAGTTCTCTCCAGACTCATCCATGCAGGACCAGCCAAGGGGCTCTACTGTACTCTACATATCATTTCATGTTATTTGCACAGAGCTCTGAGCACACAGAGGGTGTTCATATAGAACAAACCATTCTCCTTAGAGAGTAAAGCTATCATGCTCAATGACGTGTGAACAGAGTTAATATTAAGTAGTCTGTCTAAGGATGATTATAGGGCATTAACTCTTCTGCCAGCCTACATTACCCATACTCCTCTGCTTTACTACTATTTCTGGCCTACACTACCCACCCTTCACCACTGTACTGAGCCAATACCCATCCTCCTGTGCTCCAGTGCCATATTATCTTACCTGTGCATTTCTTGGGGCTTCCGGGGCGCTTGCCATGCATCCCCAGCTTGCAGCCGAAGTTCTCCTCCCAGAACTCAGCGAACCACACGTTCCTTCTGTTGTTGGACAGAGAGCGGCTCCGGAAGTAACGGTCAAATGCTGTCGGGGAGATGGGGAGGAAGGAAGACAGGAAGGGGGACATGACAGAGGAGAGGAAGGAGGAGGAAGGAGAGGAGAGGAGAGGAGAGGAGAGGAGAGGAGAGGAGAGGAGAGGAGAGGAGAGGAGAGGAGAGGAGAGGAGAGGAGAGGAGAGGAGAGGAGAGGAGAGGAGAGGAGAGGAGAGGAGAGGAGAGGAGAGGAGAGGAGAAGAGAAGAGAGGAGAGGGGGGTAGAGGAGGGGTCAGTGAGTGACATAACATGTAAATACAGACCTGTAAACATCTGGTATGATGTGATGTCAACCTTGTTGAGGGTATACTGTGTCTTTAACTCTTTCCCCTCAAAACACTATCATCTAAAATGGCTTCTGTCTGTACCGTCCACGGAGGCTCGTTTGGGCAGGATGGTAACAGCTCCCTCAGCCACCAGCTCCTGGCCAATCACAGGAGAGATTTTGGAGCCCCAGCTGTCTGACCCCACCCACAGGAAGTGACCAGTCTGGTTGTTGTGCTTGGCCGCATCCAGGATACGCCTGAGAGAGGGATAGAAAGAGAGAGAAAGGGGGTAGGGAGAGGGGGAAGGAGAAAGAGGAAGGGAGAGAGAAAGAGTCAGGACTAGAGTCACGACCGACACTTGGTATATCGGGGTATAAGGGTACAGGGGTGTGTATGTAGTGGTGTAGGGATAGGCTATAGAGGTATAGGTGTAGTTGTGTGTTTTTTGGGGGGCTGTACAAAATACCGTATGTCGTCCTCGTTGGCGAACATAATGACAGCCCTGGCGTTGGACGTCTCCAGCAGACGCATGATGATCTTATCAAACTCCCCTGGCTTAGGTTCACGCGGGATCTTCAGAGACTGGGCTATACACACCCCACCTAGAGGGAGAGAGGGAGAGAGAGAGGGAAAGAGAGAGAGAGAGAAAAAGAAGGAGAATATATTAGTATCTGAATCATCCTCATCAATATGAGTACATTGTAAACAGCATTGTGACTCCCACTGCTGTGAAAGAGAAAGACAAAGAGAGCTATTAGTGTTGTTGGTCACATCCCTAATCCTGAAGTGGAAGCCTGTTGCCTTCTCGCCAGCGCACAGAACCAGGATTTATACAAACACAGCATGACAGGACATATTGGAGCGGACACACACACACACAGCCATATATAATATTTAATGTTGCTGTTAATAACTTGAAACGTGATATGGGGGAGTGTGTGTGTGTGTGTGTGTGTGTGTGTGTGTGTGTGTGTGTGTGTTGGAGTCTCCTCAGCCAGTCTCATTAAGTTCCAGGCCATTAAATTAACATCTGTAGTGTCTGCGGAGCTCTGTATTACTGTACTTAATCAGAGCAGCGTTCTCTCCACTCACACACACACACACACACACAAAATCCTGTAGAAAAAGACTAATTAGCACCAAATGAATGCCCTCTCTAGAATAATGGCTGGTGTGAGACACCCTCCAACAGGCCTGCTTCTGTTCTGTTGCTCCTCACTGCAGTCGGTCTCATAATAGGGCTACGCAATGTGTTGTACTGGGGATTGATAGGTCATTAATAACTGTCCCATAGAGGAGAAAGGTTCCCAAATACAGACAAAGCATCTGCCTCACCACTGTGCTATTAAAGTTGTATCTTCCATGTCAATTTATTTGACCCTTCAACCAACAATTTTGACAACATATTCAAAATACCATGTATCCATTTTTTGTCATTCATGTCAGTCACTGGGCTGTTTGTCACCTTCAAACCCATCTCTCAACTCATCTCTCATGTGAACTAACCATAGTCATTACACTCTGAATAAACAGAGCCTCGATCACAATTCAATTAACATTAATTTCATAGTGGTTTCTCACATTCACACTCTCAAAGCCTGGTCCCGATTTCCAAAAACTGAAAAATTGCTCTTTCATGTGCCGAAAAACTGTTTATCAAAGAAAAACAAATTATTATGCACCCAGAGTTAACTTTCAAACGCTTCATTTTTTTATGGATGGTACTTGTTATCATCAACAGGTAGGGACCAGTGTGAGTATGTTTTCTACAAACACACAAACCCCATCGCTTACAGAGAACCCAGCATTGCAGAACATCTCAGAGAAAGAGAGAGAGAGAAAGAGAAAGAGAAAGAGAAAGAGAAAGAGAAAGAGAAAGAGAAAGAGAAAGAGAAAGAGAAAGAGAGAGTGAGAGAAAGAGAAAGAGAAAGAGAAAGAGAAAGAGAAAGAGAAAGAGAAAGAGAAAGAGAGAGAGAGATGGCTATGGATGGCTCTGAGTGTATTGTAGTGCACCCTTGTGGTGACACCAGCTCCACTACAGCAGCCTAGCGGTCAGTACACCTGCCCTACAGACACACAGCTCCAAGAGAAAACCACTAACAAGCTACTGAGTAAAGCAATTCAGGAACATGTTTCACAGTGGGAGTTTGTGTAGAAGTTAATATAATAATAATAAATAATATAATATGCCATTTAGCAGACGCTTTTATCCAAAGCGACTTACAGTCATGCGTGCATACATTTTTGTGTATGGGTGGTCCCGGGGATCGAACCCACTACCTTGGCGTTACAAGCGCCGTGCTCTACCAGCTGAGCTACAGAGGACCACAGAGGACCAAGTTAAGGCAGTAAACACACATACCTAGGATAATCTCACCCCAGTGGGAGTTACAGTAATTAATTTACATTTAAGTCATTTAGCAGATGCTCTTATCCAGAGCGACTTACAGTTAGTGAGTACATTTATTTTTTTTATTAAATTTTTTTCATACTGGCCCCCCGTGGGAATCGAACCCACAACCCTGGCATTGCAAGTGCCATGCTCTACCAACTGAGCTACACAGGGCCCATTGAAACATACTCTGTAGGCCTGCTACTCCAACAGTGGCCTACTTCTCTGCATTTACTCTTTAATCATTTGATTATCAGTGCTTTATGAAACATGACGTGTCGAAGTCCATCTGACCTCCCGTGATCAGGAAGATACTGTAGCTAGAGCCTTTATCAGGGTGTGTAAAGGGCTTATATTCATTGATAATTATATCCAGCTTGTTTCCACATTATCCAGCTGGACCACATTATCTCTTCCCAGGATAATGAACTCTCTCTCCCAATGAGTTTTTTTTTCCTGTTTCATTACCCCACTAACATATTGAATTATGAACGCTGACAAGATCGCTGTTCTCTCTGCCTCTTCTCTATACTCCTTCTTGTCTTTCATCTCCCGCTGCTCTCTCTCCTCCAACGTTTCTCAGTCTTTCCCCATTAAAACCCACTCCTGCAGCAGTAGAGGACCTGTGTGTGTGTGTGTGTGTGTGTGTGTGTGTGTGTGTGTGTGTGTGTGTGTGTGTGTGTGTGTGTGTATGTATGTGTGTGTGTGTGTGTGTGTGTGTGTTCTTCCTGCTGTGACATCACTAGGAGTGCTCCTACCTGCTGGGAGGCCTGACTTCAAACAGCTCCTCCCCTATCACCTGACAGGGTTTCCCTCCCGCTAAGTAGAATGGATAATAAGTTTAGCTTCAAAGCGCTAGCTGTCATGGTGACGGGGCATTTCTGTGTGGTGTGAGCGTGTGTGTGTGGAGGAGAGAGGCACGAGCTGTGCTGCTGATAAATCATTCATTACGAAACATCTCACTACAAACCTCGAGCACTTCTCATTTCTCTCTCAGCCTGAATGTGGGCACCTCCACAATCACACTGACACACACACACACCTCCACACACACACACACACACACACACACAAACACTCAGCATGATGGGTCTGTGCCACTGCAAGCTCTCTCGGACCTCCTCAGTATGGCTGAAGCTTCCCACCACATCTACCGACACACATGCACACACACTCACACAAACACACATGCTGCAGTCACAGATTTACAAAGAATACATTCAGAGAAGCACGCACCTGCATAAGTCCACCCACACACACTCAATTAGGAAAGCTGTCTATGTAGCCCACTCATCTTCAGCTGACATATAGCCAAGGATAATAAAACATGTTCTTTTGCCAGACATCTAACAGCAACTAAGAGCATCCAACGTCAAACACACATCCATCACACACACATCAAACAAACATCATACACACACATACATCAGACTTTCATTAACATGAAACGTCTGCAGCAGACAGACAGACAGATAGAGAGCATCATGTACTTGATGAGGTATGAAACCATGTAATGTACAGACAGACATCCATGTAGAACCAACCCCCCAAACATCTCCCTATAACTAGACTATTCATATATCCAGGCCTGATGTTGATACATAAATCTGGTAACTTTCCCAAAATTCCCAGGTTTTCCAGAAATCCTGGTTGGAGGACTCTGTATTCTCTCCCGAGTCCTGGAATTGTGCAACCCTATCCAGGCCTCAAGATTCACAGAACTGCTGAGTTTATTCTCCAGGGAGATCGTTTAAGATTGAAGACGAAATTGGACGTCTATCCAGTCCTGAGGACGTCGGGAAATGCCTTCAAAACCAGACGCTAGGGGCAACAGTGAGCGCTATTACCATCAAACAGGCTTGGGTTTTACTAACATGTTGTGAATAAGGGGTGGTTGGATAGATGTAATCCCATGGCTCTGGATCAGAAGGTTGTGTGTTCGATCCCAGTTGTGGACACTGTTTTTTTATGTATATATATATATATATTTTTTTATTTTATTTTTATTTACCTTATCCCAAACCTTAACCCTTAACTTAACCATTCAGAATGAGTGTCTAAACTTGATGTTTTAACCAATGGTTTATATATACACTAGATGACTGATAAGGGGCGCTGTGTTGAAGCCACCGTGCCTCCATCTTGGCACTCCCCCACCGTTGTAAAACATATTTTGGAAGCTATAGAAATGCATTTATTAATGTCTACATTCTTGCCACATTTATTCTATTACATACACCTTAATGCATACCTTTAAATTATATTATGTGAGCTAAACATACAAATGAAAAAAAAAATATGAATGTTACACTACAACCCAAAAATACTTAAATACATGTAATTTTGTCCTTGAAACGTTTAATTGAAATACTGTAGAATTCCATTCATTCCTATGGAGGACTGCTCCTACTGGGGAGTGCCAGTATGGCCGACCGGTGGCTTCCAAGCCTCTCAATGGCCAATACATACAGTAGCATCAGCAATCCAGGGTTTATATACATCATTGGTTTTAACCCTATCCCAAACCTTAACCCTTTGGAATGAGTGCCTAAATTTAACCCTTAACTTTGTAAATTGACGTTTAGAGAAATAGAACAATACAGAGCAGCAGGCGCAACAAAAACACTTTGAAATTTGATGTTAGGAGCACGTGGATGAATGTCTAATTTTGCAGTGTGACTTTGACAGCTTGTTGTTTTTCTCTGCCTGGTAGTTAATTGATTCTATGACAGTGTTAAAATGGTAGCAGCTGCATTTCCTCTCTCTCCCACACACACACATCTCAACACATACACACACACACATCAACACATACACACACACGCAAACACATCCACACAAACACACACATGGATAGAAACACACAAAGACAAACACAGACACAGACACACACACACACACACACATACACACAAACATCAACACACATACACACACAAACAAGGCAGCTGAGTATCCTCTCTCTCCCACACACACACAAACATCTTTAACGCAGCTCTAAACACTCACATTGGTTTATAAAAGGATAAAAGTTTACTTCCACACCACACTTAGCTACAAGCCCTGGGGTGAGGAACATGGGCCTTTGAAGTAGCTGGTGCAATTGGTGTGTGTGTGTGTGCGTTTGGCATGCGTGCCAAACAGGAAATCTCCTTCTCTCTTCATATCTCTCTCTTTCTCTCTCACGTCGGAGTGCATGCTGGGAGTG